GTACTTGGTTTCTAATCTCTTTGGCTTTGCTTTAAAAACCACACAAAAAAGCAAGAGCCTCTACTTCCTATTTACCCAATAAACCACCGTGACAGCAACAGTATGTTCAAAATCAGTACTACTATTTCTTTCAATTAAAAAAATTGTTGTTTTCTTTAAAGATTTAAAAAATGTATTTAGTCTTATATGCTTATTAAAACCACTAGTGGGTTATTCTTTTCAAGTACTATTTTTAAAATGAGCAGATAACTTAAACTGAGTGTTATTTTTCCTGCCCTTGGATTTAAGATGAAAAAAATAACTCAGCCCTGGCCGGAGAGCTCAGTTAGTTGGACTGTTGGTCCGTGCACCAAAAGGTTGTGGGGTTTGATCTCTGGTCAGGGTGTGTATGGGAGGCAGCTGGCCAATGCTTTCTCTATCTCTCTCTCTCTCGCTCTCTCTCTCTCTCTCTCTCTCTGTCTCTCTCTCTCTCCCTCTCTCCCTCACCCTCTCTCTCCTTCCCTCCCCCTGCCCTTTCTTTAAAAATCAATAAACATATCGGGTGAGGATTAAAGAATAATAATTCATAACAACATAAGGTCATTCGTGGAGAAGAAAAGCCAGTTCCCTGCTCCATGATTCTGATTCTCATTGTTCACAGAGACAAAATCATGCTTCATCGAGGAGAGCAGAGTCCTTCCTGTCAGTCAGAAAGAAATGTCATCTTCATTCCTGCACAGAGGGCACACCGGGGTGATGTCCTCGACTAAACCCTGACAGCATAGTCATTGCAACAGTGGACTGATGCCTTGTCCTTGGACCCTCTGATGAAAGATGAAGGCGTGACTTCCAAAGACAAGTTCAGTAGAATGAAGGGACTAGGGCAGTGGTTCTCAACCTTCTGGCCCTTTAAATACAGTTCCTCATGTTGTGACCCAACCATACAATTATTTTCGTTGCTACTTCATAACTGTAATGTTGCTACTGTTATGAATCGTAATGTAAATATCTGATATGCAGGATGGTCTTAGGTGACGCGCCAAAGGGGTCGCGACCCACAGGGTGAGAACCGCTGGACTAGGGTAAGATAAATAGAGTTCAAAGGCTAAGTTGTTGGATATAGTCCAGGTTACTATGGGTTATCTGGGAACGATAAGAGTAGAGATCAGGAGAATCTTTTGCCACCTGCACCCAGGCCTCAGATGAAAAGCTGGTCCCTCCTCCCGTTTGAGACGTGTGCCCGCCAATTTTGCTGGCTATGGCCCAAAGAGTGTCCTTACCCAGCGTACGTTATACCAGGAGCTGATGTGCTGCTGCACAAACCTTGACATCTAACATTTCATTTTCTTCTAGTAAAATACACGAGAATATCAGAAGCATGACACTAGATGATTCACTGATACAAGTTAGAACAGCACAGCGTATGCACTGTGTCGACATGATGCACATTACTCTGTGCGTGGCCCGTGTGATGAGGCACGGCATTTTATAGTTTTTATGCTCCACCTGCATTCTTTAATCTTCACAAAACCCTGCAAGGCAGGCAAAGAAGTGGTGACCCCATTCCGTGAGATGAAAGAGTTCCTAGTGTCACAGCTTGGAGCCTGAGTTCTGTTTTCTCTGTTTGGCGGCCTCCCTGGCGTAATTACTGGGGTTGCCACCCCAGTTTGTTAAAGGTGCTGCTGCTGTTCATTTGTTAGGGGACTTGATTCCCTTTTCAACCAGTTAGTTTGTTTAAGAGGGAGACTGGTCCTTGGAACAAGTTCTTTGTCAAATGCTACTGATTTTTCTTACAGTTGCAGTTTACATTTAAATAGAGTTTACATTTCAGAGGGGAGGAAATTCAATGTTTCTGGTGCAAAACAGCATTGAAGGCAAAAGGACCCCCAGTGTTGGACTCCCAAGTTTGTTCGAATTGCAAGTATCACTCATAGCATAGACACTGTTGTGCACTTAGCCTGGCACAGGTTAAATGGGGAGCATAAAAGTGTGTAGGCTTTATCTCTAAACTAGTGACCCGGTGCATGAAATCTGTGCACATTAAAAGGGAATTAATTGGAGGAAATAT